CAGCCTAGGAGCGGCAGAACCGAAATCCGTCCCTGCTCACACACACTATAACTGTAAGGTATTACGTTACTCTTTTGATGAGTTGCACAATTCCTGCCTGCCTGCTGTGTACGAGTAGATACCTATTTTCAATTATATATATCTCGAAAACTAACCTATGAACAAACATTTGCTAAAGGAATAATTATCTTAAAAATCGCGCAATATGACATTTTATGGACATTGTTTTGTATCACTCTGTGTACATAATGTTTTGATGCCATGTTTCTCATAGAAGCTTTCTGTTACCTACTTTTAGGGGATCAGTGTTTTTAATTGAAACTATAACACTCATATGTTCAAAAACTTTAAACATCGGATACCATACTACATAATTCATTTCTCGTGATAAAAATGCAGATATTTCCCAAAACGTAAGATAATCAAGTTGTCTACGTGTAAGGAAGTAAAACGCATCATCTATGATTTGAGCCCGATTGAGAACATGAATGTCGACATATTTCACAGAATTCATGTATTGCGCAAGATTAAGCCAATTTTCAGTATCATAATTAACACGATAATACCCTGTTATAAAAAGAAAGTTTTCATTATTAATGTTTCTTGATAGAATTGATGAAAAAATAGTTTTTAAATAATTTTTATTGTTTTGTGTGAGAAACATTTTCTCAAATTATTTATTTTTAATAAATATTTTACAATTGGTTTGAAAAAAGTGTAGAAATGATTATCATGTGATAATGTTTGTTGCAAGCATGAATGACACGCACTCTTGCCAGTATGCGAGTGCGTGTGTCAGAAGCATCAGGGTGTGTAAGATTAAAAAAGCAAAAAAGATACGAAGATAAAATATAATAAATTTAATGATTTATATTTACCTGTTTGTTGTAAATTGACTATAATCCAATCTTTTTTTTCAAACTTTTGCTTTAATTCTGTCGAATTTTGCGGTGATAGCCAAAAGGATTTATTGGCAAAAATATCGTGAAAGTTTATTTCTGATTTTGTCGTATACGTCACAAATACTGAAAGATATTCTGTATCCCCGTTAAAACGGTTAATTTGAAATTGGAATGTTGTCTTGCTAGCCAAATGATTTCGTATTACGTGCAGTACAGGATAATATTTTTTCGCTATCCAAACAGATATAAGTCTTTTTACAATAAATGCGTTTGAGTTATTTGGTATAATAGTTTGCACCATGTTCCATAAATCATTTGTTTGATTATATCTATAAAATAGAAAATTTTTATAAAAGCATACATTGTGCGAATTTTTAGCAAAAATTTTTTGTTTGCGATACTCAAAATTACTATTTAGTGTATTAAATAGTAACACTTTTGCGGCCACTTACATATTTTTACGTTCATGCTTCGGTATAAGTCAGGTGCCGGTCACGTAATTTTACGTTTACTGTTTTTTGCATTATGGTATTAAGTCGTATAATATGAAATGTCGAATATTACATCAGTTTAATATAATAGAGCGGCTCTTCAAGCGTTGTGCACAAGCGAATATATAACGGTCGCGAAAGTGTTAATTTATATGTTTGTATAATTAGTGTAATAATATATTTGTGTAATTATACGTGAAGGATAATATGTAGGACATATCTTTTCGAATTTGAAAAGTTTCTTTATCTAGTCTGACTTTTGCAATAAATTAAACTTGTTTTTAAAATTGTAGATAAAAATCATTACCTATCGAAATATCTTATTTTTTACATTTTCAGTTATATTTTATATAACCTGAACTTATAATTATATTAATAAATTTTGACTATAATATAAAGAAAAAAAGTTTCTTTATTTGTATACATATGTATATGTTAAATATTAGTTTTCAAAGGACTGTGAAAGTCAATTCGATAAAACTTCAAAAATCAATTTTGGTTTACATAAATAAAAATAGTATTTTGATTTTAGAAGATAGATAGATCAATAAATAGATAGACTGATAGAACGAAAGAGGGAATAGTGGGGGCATCGAATTTGATATAGGCCTTTTAAAGTAACATATTTCTAAATAATCTAAAATAATCTAAAAGGTTTCTGGACAGGAAAATGCGTTAAATACATTCTTTTGTTTCTCTCTTGATCCCCTCACTTCTTTTTCGTTTCGTTCTTTGTAGAGACTTATAACCTGAAGCCTTTCTTATTGGAACAAGTTTATATTGTGTTCCTTATTTTTGGTATTAAACTGTGTGTTTCAATTTGATTTAAGTAATCAATCGTTCTCAGATTTATTTCGGAACTCATAATCACGCAACAGTTTTGCAATAAAAAAAATTTGGAATCGATTTGTAATAATTAACAACTTAATACATTATTAAACAATTTATAGCAGTACATTTTTATATTTCTAATATGTTCTATAATTTTCAGTAGACTCGTTGGTTTTAAAACTCAATTTTTTCAGGCTCAGTTTTCGCGTGCTTTCGAAAAACGTTAATTACTTAAAAGTTAGAAATAATAATGATAAAAGTATAATATTAGTATGTTAAAAGTATAATACCATTTAATAAGGAGCAGTATTTAATGTATAAATTTTTATTTTGTGTTTTTAGCTGAGTGATAACGTACAAAAACAAGATATATCAGTTTTGATGCCTTTCTTTGAAAATCAACGTTATGTTGTTTACAGTTTTGAAGATTTAAGATAACTTCTTCGGATAGGTTTGAAGGAGTTTATATTTATAACACGTATAATGGAAAGGCTCATATGATAACTATTAAATAATATAATAGAAGAGCATTAAAACCCGTCGCAGGATGTTAATGCAAAATTTTTAATTTTTCTTAAAGAAATTAATTAATTAATCTACGTGAAGCAGTTAAATTGTACACCGATCTCAGATCAAGATACTTAAAGTGTACGAAAAGTTAAGTACATTGTTCTCATATATGAAGAATCATAATGTACTGATAGGAATTATTGGAAAAAAAGATAACTAACATCCTGCGACGGCTCTTAATGTTTTTATATTTATATCTTTGGATAGTAGAATTTTAAATACGTCTCCCTTCTTCAATATCTAGTTTATGTGATAATTATCTAGCTAGAGAGATAATTAGATATTACTTACTGTTTGCTATTAACATATGTGTGGATACCCGTCCAAAATATATCAGGAGTTATCAAATGGTGTAACATGCGCCATATATTGGATGCTAAAACAATTAATATTATAAAGTGCTTGTTAAGTACTTTGAAATACATATTTTATAAAAGTTAAGATATATTTCTTTTATAATGAAATTTATGTATGTCAATACATTGTATTTTAATTTGTGTGTTAAAGACGTAAATGAGATTTCGTATGTTAGGATTGCTGGTAACTGTCACAAGGACAGAAAGATGATAACGAGCGTTTTGTTTCACTGAAAGTTTCACTGAAGTGTTTTTAAATTTATTTGCTTTGAGTGCAACGTGCTAGAACAATTTCTTGGTATTCAACCTTTCAGCCTTTCTATCGATTTGACGATTTTGGCACGACTGCCGTCAGTATCGGCAAAGAGGTTACACGAGAGTTTCGAAATTACACCGACTTGTTTCACACCATTGTGTTAGACTAATATGGGTTGACAGCCCGATATAATAACCAAATATGATAATGTCTTTCGTTTGTTGACATCTTCACACAATTAAACGTGCATATATAAGCTCGAGCTTGTCCGTCAAGGGACAAAATGCTTTCAAAGAAAACCAAAACACAACGAATCAATTAAATCAGTGCTCGGAATTAGTTGAACATTTCAGCCGATTTCCGCGGTATACGCCTCCTTTCCTTTTCTTACCGCGCGCGCCACAGCCGCTAGGGCCAGCGCCGCCGAGCGTTAGGAGCGGCACTATCTGATGAGGTTCTGTAAGTAGGTTCTTCTCCCTATTTATTAAAATTAAAAAAATGTATTAAAATTTATTAAAAATAAATTTTTATTTTTAAATTTATTAAGTGGAAATATTTCAATAGATTTCTACGTCACCCATGAGGTACTAATGCTGATGCGATTTTTAAAAAGTCGTTTCTATCTACATTATTGCATCAATTGTTCATTCTCATAAAAGGCCAAGAAAATCTAATTAA